TATGTAATTAATATCATTTTATTACTTTTTTAAGACATTCAGTCTCTAATTTCTCTGTTTTCATGTTGTAACGTCACAAGCTCACAGTTTCCTGCTTCTTCCTTGCTGAAACACACACACAGCCACACACACTCAGCATCCTTTCAGCCTTTAAATCACTGTTAAATTGCAAAGTTCTTTTAAATACCAAAAATACTTATTTTATATTACAAATATATTATTATAATATTATATATATTATATTAGTCATTACAACAAACACAGGGATCCTTGACACACTCAACACAAAATCCTACACAATTTTGACAAATTTAACAAGCGTCCAATGCTAAGGTCCAACCTTTTTGTGATCAATTAACCAGTATCAGTTACAAACTGTGCCTGGCCCAATTTCTAAACACCCTATTTTAATTTTAAAAGCGTCCAACGCCCAAGATCCAACCTTTGCTGCCCAAAAAAGTGCAGATACCGTTCCAAACGTCAAAGTGATCCAATCACTGGCTATTTTAGCCCAAGGCCCCAAATCTTGGCAGGTGCTACCTGGAGTAATTACCCACGCCGGAGGGTCTTTTTACACGTCTGTAAAAAGCGGGAGGTCTCCACCTCGAAGCTTATGCACTTCTTAGAAGTCAAACTTCCGTCGTAGGATTTTATATATAATTTGAAACAACACCAAAAGTCCACCAGACTATTTGACCGATGCAGGTCCAACCTTATGATCAATAGGGACTTAAACCCATAAAAATGACCAATTACCTAATATCCTAAACACACATTACTTCTTTTTCTCTTTTACCATGAAATACCATAGTCCTTTTAACTCAGTACTGTCATTCTCAACGTGTCATTATCATTATTTCAAAGCTTTACTTTATTCTCAAGAATTTAGTTTTACCACTAATGAGCCAATTTAATAGTTAAGATCCGCAACTCAGCAACAGATAATTTAGAATTCATCCAATATGCACAGATTTGCTTTTTCTTGAACAGGTTTGTGCCTACCTTTTTAGACCGGTCTTCTGTTTCGCCTCATATCAGATCCAACCTTTCGGCCACATTTGTTCTCTCTGTTGCAAGGAGAACCGGGCGGAAACACCAAATATTAAACCCCGATTCTTTTGTCCCCTGATAGAACAGAGAAAACCGATTCATAGTGTGTTAAAACATTTATATTTCTTTTTATTCAATCATCTTCCGGAAGAGAGAGACCCCTGCACAGCCCAAACGCCAGTTGCAGGATCTCTAACATTAGATCAAATGTGTCTATAGGTGTTATTTTCGGTACTTTGCACGTCACAGTTTCAATACAAACATTCCTTATATGGTACAAGTTCCTCTTTTCTGTCTGATTTATTAATATGCCTGTGCACTAAAATGTCCTGTGCAGCTTGCAATACCTTCCCTTTTCTGAGGTCTGTTGCCTGGGCAACCTGTCTAAACTTAGTCTCACTCTGTCTGTTCCCCATATTCTGCAAAAATATGCAGTTTCTGGTCGGCCTGTGACCTAGTCAAGTCTGGGCCTCTCATAAAACAATCTAACGAGCAGATACGCATTAAAAAATATCTCTCTATTTCTTAACACACTCCCATTACCATGGCAACCATCTCTTGCCCTCCGGTCAGTCCTGTATGAACGGTGTGCAGTAAAGGATGAAACAAATGTGTGTTGGTAATTATGAAGTACAGTGGTCCTTCGCTATAACGTGGTTCACCTTTCGTGGCCTCGCTGTTTCGCAGATTTTTTTTTGTGTGCAATTTTGCATGCTTTTTTTTTTACAGCACATTTTTACAGCGCATTGTCAATCAATCTCGTGCCGTGTCTCCTGTACAGTACAGAATGCGTTCAGCTTGTCAAATTGACATTTACATAAAAATCCCATCCTTCACAGAGGTGGGAACATCGGGTTCTCAACCAATAAACTTGTGCAAATCCACAAAAAGCAGCAAACATCAAAGCAGCAGCAGCACAGGTCAGCTGATCACAGCCTGCACACAAAGAAAATCTACCAGAGCTCACAACAGAAATTATGGCGAGTTGTGATTCTTTTTCACTGAGCCATCGATCTTATAGTTCCCCCATGAGCTAAAATCTCATTTGGCATTTTCAATTAAAATCAAGTGTCTGTTGATCATATTTACCCCACTATCACTCAAGTACAAACAGCACGATAACAGGTGGAGGAAGAAAAAAGTTTATGCTAGACAAACAAATAACTTTTTGCAGTTTTTATTATAGCAATAGATGTGGAACTACACTGTCCTCTTTGCAAGTGGTCCACTTAGCATGTTAGAAGCTAATTTGAAGCAAGTCATTTAAATCTTATCAAAAGTAAAGAAAGAAAAAAAAGGGGGGGAAAACAGAACAAAGTCAGTTCTTCAGGAAATCTTTCACTTTAATTTTCTTTGGATTAAATTGTGTTTGAGTTTTTAAAATCAAGATGTATTTAAACCTGAGATGGTACAAGAATAGCAGTGATTTAAAGGTTGAAAAGGAGAATGATTTCAAAAGATTACAAGCTGTTTTTGAGCGTTGGCTTTGTTTGCTTTGGAACGGTGCAGGTACACTGCGTAAGTGGGTAGAACATCCTTTGACATTTTTATGACTAGGTTATTATGACATTTTCATTGTCATAATAACCTGTCAATGATTACTATCTCTTCAACCCACAGACTTATCTTCTAATAGCTCAATTTGGAGCAAAGGTTTTACGTTTTACGTAATGTAAGGAGTCAAATAACTGAGTTACCACTGTTTTAATTTATAAAGTAACAAACAAATATGCAGTATGTGAGATACTAAAAATATTTTACTGAAACAGAATGTGGGAAAAGTATAAAGCAACTTGAATTCTTTTATATGGATGTGCTATTATCCACTGGATAATAACTGGGTAAGTATGTCAAACACAGTTCAGTTTGAAATAATCAATTTCAGCTCTTCCTGATCACATTGATATCTGTTATCATTTATCAGACCTGGACTCTTCTTCGTCATCATCATTAGGCAGATAGTGGAGATGAGGACACGTACTGTTTCCCGTCAGGTACCACTCAAAAAACTGATCGAAGCTCTGAGGAGTCTCAAGGTCTGCAGTGTTTTGCTGAAGTGATAGTTTTGAGAGTTGTTTTATATAAATGTATAAACAATTTTTTTTCATTGGCTGTATATAAAAGCTAGATGTTGTCACCATAAAGTGACCCATTTGAAGCTTTAAGCTGCCACTATGTGTATTGTTTGCATTCAGGAGTGTTTATGTTTCAAAAAGCTGTGTGCTAAGTTATCAACAATTTGATTGATATACGATGATAGTGCTATGTAACTGACTAAGAAGAAAATCTGAATTTTCATATGAACTTGTTACAAATACAAAGCCTCTAATCCTTGAATGCCTTTCCTTAACAATAAAACTTCAATAGAACTCTGCTTTTCGGCAACAAAGTTATCTTTTATTTCATACAATTAAACACAAAAATTATGAGCAAATAATTTTTTAACCACTTAAAGAACTTTGTCATACTATATCTCAAAACCAGCTCTTTCTTCAGGCTGGCTTGAGCGTCTATACAGCTCTGACCTTTCCCTTCTTGTCCATCAGTCCTGGAAGCATTAGAGCCTGAGACAGATGTGATCTGAAGAGCTGTGGCATGAGTGTATGCACCCCATGTGAACTCCAGCCATGGCATCTTCATGGAGTTGGTATAAATATCATTCACATGCCCTCCACTCATAGATTAGAAGTGTGATCTGCTGAGCCCATATGGTGCCTTCTGAGGAAAAATTTATGGGATTATTATCATGAACCAGTCGGATCACTCTGGACTGAATAAAACTCAAAATAATGGGATGCTACAGAGATTTCTCACTGACCTGACTTTGGATAAGACCGCAAGACATTGTTGTTTGTTATTTCAAAACTCTGAAGAGAGTCTATGTATACTGGCCAGAAACGACGGCTATTCAGATTTAATTTAAGTCAGGTCAGATTTCTCACTGACCTGACTTTGGATAAGACACGAGGAACACATCTCATATTTCAAAACTCTGAAAGAGTCTATGTGCTCGGGAGTTGTGTGACTGGCCAGGAAGTTGAAGTTATTATACCTGCACAGACGATCACTGATCAACTCGATCTTAGTTGTGAATCACACAAAGAGATAAGGGGAAGAGACACAGTTTGTGTTGTTCTTCACCCCATGTGAATGAATGAATGTGAATGTACATTCTTTTAGAGGTACTATAGTTAATGTTAAACTAAAGTGTTAAGCATTTATGTTTTAGTTTTACTAGAAAATGTGTTCGTTTGACCTATGCTGTGCCCCGACTACTGCATTATAATGCTGCTGCTGGAAGATTGGCTTGACGATAGAAGGCTGTTCTCATTTAAAACCACAAATGGAGTGACATTAAAAGACTCTCAAAACCTGACATACCTGTGTTTGAAACATGAAATTTTATTCCAGACAGCTATATAAATATGAATAATGTGGAGTTTAGTCCATCTTTGGATCAGTTTACTTGTATAAGAAGAGTTTCTCACAGATAAATCCAAATGTTACTCTTGGGATCACGGATCAGAGCGTTTTGGAAATCAAATTTACATTTTGCAGCCCTGATGTTGAGAAAATCTTCAGTAATGTTCAGAAAAAGAAGTCCCATTAAAGAAATAAGATTGTTATTTTTAATAGACTATTAGCTTACACTAACATGTGTTAACAAGCTGTATTTCACATATTAGTTAAATGCTATTCAGTGGATGCCATTTACAGGTCTGTGGTTTGATTCTGTGTAGGATTTAATAAAGGAAGAATGTCATGCTGAACCACACTTTGACCAAAATAACACTGCAATTGCACCATTTCTTTTTGTAATGTTTTGTTTGTTACCAAAGTAGGATCCTTTCCTTTTAATTCTTCTACACAAATGAATAAGATACTTCTGTCTTGGCTGCTGACTCATGGGAAGAGAAATCACTTGTAGGTTAATCAAAGGTCAGACTTTCTTCATGGCAAAAGTACATTTATTTCAAGAATTTTCTTCTATTTGAAGGTCAGGACATACTGTCAAAAGTGATGTGATTAAAAAAAATCAATAGTTAATGACTATTCAGAAATTATGAGAATCCAAAGTGCCGTGTACTGGTTTCAGACATGTCAGATATGTTGACTGATTTACATTTTACTGTTGATTCCTGGAATCATGATCTACGTAAGATGAATCAATCTTGGGTAAACAAACATTAATCATTTGTTGTTTTTTTGAAAATTAAAATAGCAGAAAAACACATTTTAAGGCTTTCCAATGAATGAAATCAATGCTTTTAAAACTCCTGGGAGACCCTGAAGAGCTGCTCTGCTTATTCCCAGATGAACTTTAAAGGCAAATCACCAAGTTTCTCCTGAAGGACTTGATCCACTCTTTCACTCTGTGCAACAGTCAGTGTGTTCTTCCAGTCTCCAATCTGACCTGTAATGAAGACAAAAACACAACACCTGATACCCTGATATCACATTTGTCTGCACAGCAGCTGCAGGTCTGTTATGTTACCTTTACGCAGGAATTTCCCACTGAACTGCTCTGGTGGAAGTGTGCTCATAGTTTGCTTTCGAGTCCTTCTTCATGTTCTCAAACTTAGCTTTTTCCACAACTTGACTGATGCAGGCTTCAGTCAGGTTTTTCCCTAAGAAGTTGCAGATCTTCTTCACTGATCCTTTCAGGTCCTGAAAGAAAAGCAGGAACACAACAGAAAAAGAACCTTAAACTCTGCCAGATATTTTATTTGAGTTTCCTTAGGAACAACAAAAGTGTGAAGAAACATCTTACCAAAATCATTTCCTCGTAGGTCAGGAAGAGGATGTTGTACTGGTCTCTGTTTAAATACCACTCCCTGACATGGTCAAACCAGGATGACGCATAAACTGTATATTGGCATAATGCATCCAGTTATTTGGCTTCTCATTTAATTGAGTTCATCACACACACCCACACAAAATGGTGCCTGGCAACATACACA